GATTGATTTCACACGCGACGCGTTGTCGCATGCGAAGTCAAGGAAAGTTCTTTCAACAAAAGAATACTCGAGATATATCAAGTTACAGACAGATAACAAACAATAATATAGAAATTATTGATATTTTATGATTCGTTTAAGTATATTTTTACTGTAAAAATGTACAGGAAATGCTTATTATAACATATTTAGAGTATTAGATAAGAGTTTATTGCCTGTCAAACGATAATTTAATAAGTTTAATACAGTTAATTCGTAGCTTTATTGTATTTTAACATGAAAAATTGTCATTTATTGTGATTCACTGTAAAATTTATACATTTAGTTGTTTAAATGGCCCAAAAGTCAGTTGACTGTTGTACATATTTTAGTACTTAAAGTGGTTAAATTAAGGCAGATATTTTATAAGCATTTATATAGGAAACAGTTAAAGAACTTTAAGAGTGATTATCAGAGTAATTTACTAATAATTTTGTGCACGTTAAACTTTTATTGAACTTATTATCACGCTAACAGATCATGTGAACACTCAAAAATAGAGTGCACGCAGGACTATTTGCATCGTTTATCAATGACTTCCAGTGCATAAATAATGTCACGTGAATTCTAGTAATAGTGACATTGTTTTTCAGATAACGTTATAGCTAAAAGCTTCTTATACTTTAAACTAACCATAATATTGCACGCTTGATTCAGTATAAATATGAAGTATAGAAAAGATTCTTTCGTATTGATTTTAAATTTTAAGAAAAATAAATAGATAAAAGCTTATATCCTCGATTAAATGTGTCACTTATGATTATAACTTTAATATATATTATTAATAAAGAAGCTTAAATGTCAACTCAAGCCACTAGAAGTGATGTGTTCGANTAATTTATTTTAAATGACACGAAATTTTTGAATTGTGCAAAATATTTTTTTGTAAGAATATGGCCGCCATGTTTTACATAGCGTCTGGATGAGTGTAACGGCTGCTAACTCCGTTGTAAAGGCTACGATTGCCCTAAGTGGGTTTCAGGCCAAACACGCCGGTTACCACCCTACAATTTTCTCATGGCTCCAGCACGGAGGGCCTCATTCATCACAATTTACATATTTTTACACTTTAAAAAAAATTGAAAAAAAAACAGATAAATTAATTTAAAATTAAAATAAACGTGTAGAATATCTGGTTATTGAATTTTTATACTATTTATACAATTACATACGTGATTGATTACTTTGATTCATCGTCTTCCGTTTTATCAATATGATTAGTTATCTTTGTGCAAAACAAATTTACTAAAGAAAAAAATAGCTTCTTGTGTCGAAATATTTTAAGTTTTGATTAATATAATTGAAATTTGAAGTTTTAATACAATTAAATTCTAGATTAACAACGTAAAAGACTCGAAAGTAAGTTATATGGAATTGCAAGCGCTGTGCCGCGTGCAATTTCATATTATTTTCAAATTAAATTATTCGGATTGATTCTAAAAGAATACAAAAATTATGAATTTATACGTTACAATATGTTTTGTAGTTTGATCACCGAAAAATTTAAATCATAAGTCGCTATTCTACATAAAATTCCGCTTGAATGATCATCCGAATCTTGCGTACTGTACCAATTATTTAAATTCTACTCTTTGCTCTCGCCGTCAATTTCATCACTAGAGCAAAATTTAGAATAGAAATGGGTCCACCTTTAGTATTCTATAGTGTAATCCAGTATCACTCACGTAGTCTACCCAAAGAATTATAATAACTAAAAAAGGACAGTACAATGCGGTACATTTGCTTATTTAATCAAGAGTTAATTCTCAAGTACCGTACAGTAATTAAAAAAAAAAAAAAAACTTCAATTTGACATCATATTCCCATTGGATATTTCTTGCAATAAATATAACCACAAATAAAATATAATCCATTCTATGGATCCATTATTTCTTTTAGACTTCGTGGAAGATCGATACGCCATTTTTCGCAAAAATTAATTAATTTTTTTTTTAAGGAAATGCGTTATAAATGGCATTATTTCTTACCTGGTTGTTTTAGTTCTTTCTAAAACACAGAAATAAGTGCCAAAAAACAAATCTAACGTTAATTTAATGCTGTGGTGGTCGTGTGCTAGCAAGCCGAGTTCCACTAAAAGGGTCCGAGTTTACGAACGAATTCTGTTTCGAGCATGAATCTACATAATAATGCAATTATTAAGTATTTCCTTGTTATCGTTTCGTTTCGTTAAGTGAGTCATTGAATCCTAACTATTTAATCAATACTCTAGGACAGGATTAAGTTCTTATTTAAATCGAAAGGTTCCATTTCGAAGGTTTCTCATTATGTGGTCCCAGTGGTCAAGAGGGTAAAAATACTATTGATATTTGGTTATAGGTTTGCGCCTTGCCAACGGACTAGCCACGTGGAATAATCTGGATTTTTTCAAGTTTTTAACACTTACATAGGGACTAGTTTCCAAAGACAGCCCTTCCAAATGGCATTCCTCTCGGCAGATAGCTCATGTGATGGCGTTGCCGTATACAAACATACAAAACAAGTATAAACAGTCAATATACAAAATTTAGATATCTTTATTGGAAAAAAAACAGAAAATAAACTTTTATTGTTAAATTGTTAAATTTGTGTTGTAAATATGTGTTAAATTTACGACAGCAATAATAAGCTATTACCGTATTTTTCGCCGTATAAGACGCACTTTTTCTCTCCAAAATCGGGGGGAAAAAGTGCCTGCGTCTTATACGGCAAATACAAAAGCCCACCATGGCCCTCCGCTGCCCCTCCACTTCTGCATACATACATAACCGCAGGAATACTCGGCCACTCCGTTCCCTTCCACCTCTTGGCGCCGTCTGATACCAGGAAGCTCCGCTCTGCCTCGCACTGGCTTTGTGCGGTCTTTGCCTCGCGCTGCGATTGGCTGGGCGAAGAGGCACGTGCCTTCGCTCTCTCCCGCGCTGGCTTTGTGCACTTTTTAGAGTCTCGTAAGCCAGCACGGGAGCGGGTGAAGGCACTCGTCTCTGCGCTCAGCTAATAGCAGTGATATATGTAGTATGGTATATCTGAATGAAATATATCATATTTCATACCACCCCATCAAGATGTCAAAGCAGAAGAGACTGGCATATAAAGTTGCTTTTAAGCTGGAAGTAATAAAATTTGCTAAGGAGCATGGAAACAGAGCAGGTGAGAGACACTTTGGGCCACCTCCAACTGAGAAAATGATAAGAGAGTGGAGGAAACAGGAGGATCAGCTCCAAAAGTTGGATAAAAGCAAGCACACTTTGCGTGGACCAACTGCAAAGTGGCCAGAGTTAGAGGTAGAAGTAAAGGAGTGGATCACACGTCACCGGCAAAATGGACTTTCTGTCTCAACAAAAATGATAATCTATGAGGCCAAACGCATTGCTGTGGAGAAAGGCATTCAGGATTTCACCGGATCACCATCGTGGTGCTATAGATTTATGAAGAGATCTGGCCTTTCTATGCGCACCAAAACCAGAATTGCACAAAAAATGCCAAAGGAATACGAATCAAAGATTCTGTCTTTTCATAAGTTTGTTATTGATGCGAGGAAGAAGAATANGTCTTGGCTACTTTAATATTATTTTTACGTGTTTTAGCTGGCAACACTCATTCGACCATGAAAGGGAGCCAGTATTTAAACGAGGCTTCATTTTCTAATTTTTAACAATACAATAGCGACGATTATTATTTTAAAAAATTTTTGTTAGGCTTAACATCGATGAAAATTCAACGCGAAGTAGGTTAATAGCGATATACTAATATACTAATTACATGGGATATAATGATATACTGTACTACACTAATAATGGATTTTTTCATACTTTTCGGTTATCCGACTTTTCAAATATCTGACCAACCCCAGTCCCCAATTTGGTCGGATAATCGAGGCTCTACTGTACTTCACTACTATTCCCTTCTTGAAAATTGATGCATAATAAGACCGTAAGTGACAGCGGCACTAAAGATTGCTACTGTGAGATTATTATCGATGCAAAACATATTCCACGCAGAAAAATTAGGCAAATCTTGCAATATTTCTATAGAAAACCTGAATGCAAACTTTTGAATGATTTGATCGTTGATAGAAAGAGAGGCTTTGTAAAGGGCATTGCGAACTTCTTGGCCTCTTTGTTTATATTCGATGAAGAGAAACAAATATCAGAGAACAATAAAAATTGAGATCCTGAAAAACCAAAGAAATATATGACGTCCAATCGGTAAAAGACTTAATTTTTTCTAAATGGCCACCAATGCTAAATATGACATTTCCAACAATCAAAATCGACCACACAAATAAAACGGGGGAGTAAATACTTTCTATGTCATTTATCTTGCTTAATATTTGCATATATTTAAACGATGCTTCGTTAATTTCTTTTGGATTGCAATTATCAACGAGCTTTTTACGAATTAACACGAGAGAATACTCAAAATCTTTGCATATGGAACAGAAAGTAAAAGAAACTGGAACTGAATGGTGATAGTAACGTCGCACAAGAAATGTGGTAGAAATGTAATGATATCGGCTGTATAATCATTAAAGTTTGTGTGAAAAATCTGATTAATGTTAACTAATTCGAATCTATTCCTAGTGATATTGATATAATCCACGATATTGTAGATGATATTGCTGAACCAAGTAAAACAGATCTTAATCAGCATTGATCTGGAAATGATGGAACTCTCGTTGTTTATACCAGAAACTTCGTACAAATCATTTAATTTCGACATAATTTTCTTCTTATTCAGATGAAAATGATACATAACGAACACATTTACGGAAATAAACAGCAGTTTTAGAAGATTAAAACGTTGAAAAGAAAACTGTTTATCATTCTAAAATAAACATTAATGTTACAGTGAAAACATACTAAATAATAAAAAACTTTCACATAAAATCGATTTTTTGGTAAACATTTTCTTTTCAATTTTTGTCTCCTTTCGCTTAAAAAAACACTAGTATTTTTGATCGCCCTGTGGGCAATAACAGGGCCTTTTTTTAAGCAAACCCATTATAGGCCCACAATGGAGCGACCGGTGGGAAATGGAACCCTCCTCATCACCGGCCCAGAAAATTTTTCGGAATTCTGGTGTTTTTCGACCCGTCCGGTCTGATTCTGGGGTTCCCAAAGCGGTAGACTGCCACATTAACCGCTCGGTCATCCAGTCACTTAACACTGGTTCTATATTCGTGTCTGGCCGCGTGGTATTTTCCTTGTTTTTATGGCATGTCTATCCTAAATAGAGGCGAGTTTCATATAGAAAACCCTCCCGAAAGGCACTCCTCAATCGCCTCTGTTGCGTGGCTTTATTCATCACTAAGATCATTCCAATCCATTCTTTCCACCCCGTAAGCAGTAAGGGGGACCCTTTCTTTCCATGCCCATCATTTGTTTAGGTTAAACCTAAATGGGAAGGACGAGTGTTCAGGAATGGACCTGACTTATCCGGGCTTCTTTGACAAATTTCTGGAGAAATGCTCTCTCGGATTCAATCCTGAATTCCCTACAGAGCATCGGTCATCCAAATTGTACATATTAAAAAGTCATTAATCTCTCCTTATAATTCATTAAATCTAGTTTGTAAAATTTTAAAAATCAAATTTTTATTTGAGGTTCTCCATATTTAATATTGAATTTCCTTCTGGTCGCGATATATAGAGTAGTCCAAAAGTTAGTTAACCATATATAATCTCCATTTTAAAGTAAATGTAGACAAAAACTAAATTGTTCTTAATTGTTTATCATGAAAGTATAAGCCTCAATTTTTAATACAAATAGTTTCTGCAGAGAAAATCGCGATAGACAGACATTTTGAAAATTTGCATACACTCGAATACAAATGATTTATTTACGTTTATTATCTTCATTAATTTTAAACCCTTTTAAGTTAGTTTCCACTTGAGATATTTTTATTTTTAAGGCACACGCTTCATTTTGTGATAAATCAGAATAGTTTTCTATGCCTTGTAGCGATGCATTAGTTTTAATAATGGGCCCTCCTTCTCTTTGCAATGTTTCGTTTTCATTCACTGATTGTTTATCATCAGGATTCATTTCTTCAATCTGCTGAAATTCAAAATCTAATTGAAGATCTTGTTGATGAGATGATCTCTGCTTCGATTCATAGTTTATTTTAGCTTCAGGATCCAAAATTTTGTAGATTTCTCGATTCCTCCGATTATCAATTTCGTATTCTTCGTCATTGTTGCCACGATTTTCACTCATTTTGCTTTCATCTTTATTTTGCATGTGGATCCTAAACAGAAATTCATTAGTTCTGTTTTCTTTTTCTAAAATTATGGATTCGATCGTGGTGTCATATCTGCCCAATGTCCTGAATTTAACAGCGTATTCATCTCCCTTTCTGCCATCTTTGATTTCAAATTCGAAATTGTTCGCTTCTTTCGATTTTTCTCTCGTAATTATCTAATTTTCATGTAAAATATAATTTAAAAATGATTATTTTCTGACATATATATTAATTGTTTATAATCATAACTTTTTGTGATTCTAAACATACCTTTTGCTCTTTTAAAATTGCTTGGTTTTCTTTATTTTCTGAAATTTCTTGTGCATCAATTTCCTCGTCTGCTCCTTCTACGTAAGTAATTGGGACTTTCACAAGCTGAGTACAAGTATCTTCCATGATATCTTCTCGTTCGATAGAAATGGATCTTGTTTCAACTTTCGCTTCGAAAGATTCGTTAGAAGCGCTTTCAAGATCCTTTCTCGAATCATTTGAATTGTCACTTACAGATTCTTTTCCATAATTTAACAAATTATCATCTGTTCCGGTTGCTATCTCGCCTACTGATAACTGACTTTTTGCCTCCTCCTCATCCTCATCAAAATCAATTCGTCTTTTCTAGAGAGAACAATTGTTCAAATCATATCAAACTCAATTTTTTAAATAAATATTTATCATCCTTTTTTTGTAAAGAAATGATGATAAATTATTTATAAGAAATCGATCACGACTAAAAAAAATCATCATATAAACGTAAAATTTACAATAGTTCAATGGAAGAATTACTTTGATCTTTGACAAGAGTAAGGATCAAAGTTAAATTTTTAAATATAAATTAATACAAAAATTATTTATAATTATATTGTTCCTGATTAAACACACCTGCAACATTTTTCTAGCTAAACAACTACGAATTGTCGATTGATCTTTGATCACAAAATTCAATTCGGATTCTAAATATTGGTATTTTGTTACTGTCTTTTCGTAGGTGATTATTTTTCTCTATAATTTTAAAAATAGATTCAAATAATTATAGGAATTATAGACAACGTATTACATATCAAGTAGAGATTAAAACATCATATTGCACCTCACTACAGTTTAATGGTTTCCTGATGAAACTTTTCTCTACCTCCTGATTGAAGCCATCCCTGTAAATTTTTTTGATTTCAATTACTGCATATTCCTAGATAAAGAATTTTTATGGAAAAATCTGTTATCATGCATTTAATTAAGCACGAACATCAAATATTATAGTTAAGTAATCAAATTTTGCTCATAGGATTCTTGTACAAACCTCCGTTAATCCATCTTTCGAATGATTTCTTCTAAACCAATTTTGGATATTTTTAATTGAATTTTTATAATCTTGGTTTTCTAAACGAAAAATAAGATATTTTTAAAATTTAAAAATTAGTTTTATGTTATATTCATTTTAAACAAACCGATAAAAGCCTTCAAGAAGCTATATCCATGATAACCAGCAAAGGCCAAAGAAACCACAATCACTAATCTCTTGATGATATTCATGAGATTAATGCTGCTGCTGCTACTGGTATCTGGATTCAAGTAGCAAATCCCAGTGTTTTTTTCGTGATTCATGGACTTAACATATCGAAAAATGATTAACGAAAAACAAACATTTTCGATTATTACATTAACAAATTGTTGACGTTACATTCAATTTTTCAATGGAGAATTGTTATTCATCAGTTAAAAACGAAGACAAATATTGGAAATAAGACGAAAATTTTGTTGTTTTTTTTGTATGTTCCTGTGGACTAACGTCTTTTTCAAGCCCATTGTAGGTTCGGCTAAACCCACAATGGGGTGGTGAGTGGTGGTTGTGAGAAACTGGACAGATCACATTGAACATTTATATGAAAATGATGAATTAAAGTAGTAAAATTGTGATTATTTGTACCTTTTTTTTATGTATATTTAAGCAAGGCTCTTACCTTATTAATTTCAAAGGAGAAACGTAATATATACTGTATATTACCTGCCATTTAAGGAAGTGATGACTGCATTTTTATAGACAGAACATTTATGAAAACTGAAAGGTATGTTTATTAAATTTGGATATTAAAGAACTAGCCAGATGGATACTTTTGTATGCTAAATCTAAGAGATAGTGACTAGATTCTTCCTAAAGTGAAAAATTAATGAAGAAATAAAAATAAATAGTTTAATGCAGTTTAATTATTACAAAAACTACATCTTCAAATGATTGTCCTTAAACTATTTCATGATTAATATCTGGCTTGAATGGCAGAGAACCATACTGATAAAATTCTTTATTATTTTACTTTCATGCTTCTATCAACTCTAGTAAAAGTTTGATGATAAATGGCTAAATAAAAACATTCATAATTCAATTAGGCATTTCTTCTTCTTCACTTTTGTTCATTTTTCTTTTAAAAGCCTACAAAATCTCTTAATTTATACAGATCTAGACTTTAAAACATGTCTGTTAACAGTTTTATAAACACCACTCCACACACCTGAATATATGTACTGTACAACAGACAAAGAATCAACTTCTGGTGCATGTAATACAAAAGACAAACACTGCACAAACATTAACAGTTTGAACTTCACACGCAAAGAGTTATTTGTTAGAGTTTAAGGATGAACAGAAGACTCAATAACATTCCAAACATAATACAGAATGTTGAATATTGTAGTTTTGTATCTCTTAATTCTATTTTTAAATGATAAAAATTACAAACATGGGTATTATTATAATAATAATTAAATTTCTATCCAACAAACTTGATTTGATTATTAATGCCAAATGAACTGTCAAATTATTAAGTTAAAACAGGGCTAAAGTAATGGTTAGATGTAATGGTTCACATTTAATCATTAAATTAGTCTTGTTATAGTTCAATTAATTAATAATCTGGTATTTCATTTGGCATTATTATTTTTGATTCTTATCCCTTGAAAATGGAGCTGGATATGTTTGATAGCACTGAAAAATGTATATGTATTGTTTCAATTAAAGTATTCCGTTTATTTACAAGCCCTGGCACATTAAGGCTATACAACTAGCTACATTTTTACCCATTAAAAGGTAGACTCAATCATAGCAATGTCAGCTGACATGGGTGAAAGATGGAGAATAATGCTACAACCCACATTTGGGATAAATTATCTGAAGTTTGTGTTGGATTTGAACTGGAATCCTTATAGCAGTAATGTGACACTTTACTCTGTAACCACTAGCCAATGCAGTGTTTGATGATATGCACTGCAATCCAATTCTACGGATCTACAAATAATGCAAGAAATTAAATATATATTTCTTTTTGATAAAAATGTATTTATTAAATACAATTTCTATACAGTTTTTCATATTTTATCGATATTTACATAATTTATATTTTAAAACAGATTTCAATTTTTTCTTCCGAATAGAGAACGAAATAATTCATTTCTGAAAGATAAAAATAATAATTAAGAATTAGTAAATAATCATAAAATTATGAAACATTTATGATATAATGTAAAACATTTTTATGGTTTGAATTTGGTAGAATTTTAAGTTGTAAAAATATTCTATTTTGCCTAAATTTGCTTATTCTATTCTGAAAATTGATAAAATTCAGATTGAAAATGTTGCAGTTCATAATAAACATATTGGTTTTTTTCTCTGTTAAAAGTTATTTACTAAAAAGCATTCAAGAATTTTTAGCAAGACTTAAGGACTGCTTAAAATAATGTGTTAGGTTATTCACAATGTGCAACTTTTCTTGCTAAACCAGTTTTTACAGCTTTCTTAAAAGCAACAAAAACATTGATTCTCTTGACCTCATTTTCACAATTACAGGCTCTATTACAAAAAGCATTGGCTTAATAGAAAGTTGCCCTGGAGCAGCATTCTATGATTTTCAAAATCCATCAACAGAGGAACTAGCTGTCATATTTTCAACAGAATTTGCATAAAATTCTCTAAAAGATAATAAAATGAAACAAGAATTGTGACATTTGTGGCTGACATTATCTAAAAGATTCAGATTTATAATATAACTAAAAATAAAACTTTTTTTATGACTATTTTGTAGAATTAATAATGGTTTGTTTTTAGTGATGAGGTTATCCGGTGGTATTAAACACTTCAAGTGCTCTTTGAGCTTGTACGATTCCTCTACGATGTATTGATGTATAACATGTGTTGATGTTATAGTTGTGTTGGTGTCCCATGCACAATTTTTTTTATCTATAAGAGTAAGTGTGTAAGAAAAAATTTTTTCTGTTGGTATATTTGTTGTCATGAGCTGACTATTTTTGTTATTATTATTTTTTAAAAATTAGCACTGAGGAGGAGTTGGGATGTACTGCATCAACCTGAAATGCATTTGTCAATTTTGAGAATAAAATTGTAGTTCCTAACTGAAAATTTGCTGTGAGTCCGTCTACCATTTGTTGGATTACAGAGATATATTACATAGAGATCTAATATACAGCAATCCAGTTATATAGTATAAGGCAGATAGTATTATTGCATGTTTCAATTACGAAATATCTTCCTGGCCAAAATACATTGAATTTTCTCTTTTCTTCTGTTAGTTTTGTTTTCTTAGTAATAGATGCCATGGCCAAATGCTAGGTTATTAATTAAAAATATAAAATGAAAGGTACTCATTCTTCATCACTAACATCATCACTTCATTATAAAAATCTTTGAAACTAAAACAATCAAAGTGACAGACCACACCACCAACTTTTTTGATTGGTCAGTTACAAATCATGTCACGAATTACATCATTACAACATTAAAGTGTATCCAGTGAAATGAGAATAATTTTTACGACATACTTTAAAAAAATAAATAAAAATGTACCTAAAAAATTTAGGGTGCAGTGGGCTGCAGGTTGGACATCCCTGGTTTAAACCATATCAGAAACCAAGTAGAGTATGAAAAGTTGCTGATTATAACTCAAACATTCCACTATATATTAAGGAAAATATATTCAGCACGGAGTACCAAAAAATACAAAACAGAACAAGTACAAATACAGACAGTAATGAAAACATCAATGATTTAAATAAAAAATTCATGTTAAATAATTATCCTAACAAAGTAATACAGCATTGGGAAGAAAAAATCAATAGAAATAAATGTCAATGAAATGAAAAACCAGATAAACTAAATATAAAATATATAGCTTCTTCATACATTAGAGGACTGTTTGAAGAATTAGACAGTGTTAAACAAAATGAACATTCAATCACCCCCTACATATGATAGATTACATAAAAGAATACAAAGAAGTAAATTGAGAAAAAAGACAAAAGACATATACGAAACTATTAATGCTATATGTTCTATTCCATGCACACATAAAAATACATAATACAATATATGGGAAACAAAGAAAAAAGTAAAGGTTAGACTAAAAGAACATACAGCCGATTTAAAATATAAACAAATAAATTCCATTTTTTGTGATCATTGTACATTACACAACGTTAAGATCTTAGTGTGTAAAGATCTCTAATAATAAAAATCGCTGTTTAAATATCTAACAAAAAATTGGTTTAACGGTTCGGACTGGACACTGGTCACATCCTGCCTGCCTAACTGACCAGAACAAGACATCCCCAAATCTCGTGCCCACACGTAAGTGTAACCTGATCGGTTCCAGATTGAACCCCAGTCGTTATGTTTTCACACACGCAGAAACAACCAACTCAACACACAACTGTAATATAGATAAAGAAAAATATGGTAACAAATAAATAACGTATGTAAAATAAATGAAATTGTATTAGTATATATAAAAAATGTACCAAAAAAAAAAAAGAAAACAGTATGTTAATATGTAAATTAGATGATGTGTAAAATAGAAGATTAAGAATAAGAATTTATAAATAATTTATATACAAAAATAGTAAAATGAGTAATCAAAAAATTAATATAAATTTAGAAATGAAAGAAAAGATTAATAATAATATGAATTGTAAAAAGTGCATTAAAGACTTATGGAAATGAAAGTTGAAAACACAGCTCATAAAAGTGTAAAAAAGAACTAAGAATGTAAAGTGTTATTTCGACACTAAGAATGGCAAGAAAATCACTTACAGATATCTGAGTATGTAATGTAACTTAAGGAATTTTGTATGTATATATCAATGTTAACTCTATAGTAGTTCATATGCATTTTTAAAGCAATGAGAATGCCATGTGTTTATATGATTTTTTCTAATGTCCTATGCGATTGCACTTTTGGCATTTGTGTCTTACATGTGGACATACGGATTGGTCTTTGTACCAATGCCACTTGCCAAATTGCTTGCAAGTACTCGGTGGACAATTTGTCTTCTTGGTCTTTTCTTCTTTAGGTGGGGTCTTGGCACAGACATTATTAACAAAACATTCTGTTTCTTCATACAACTTGAATATGAAGTTTATACAATGTTGAATATGAAATAGCAAATCGGTACCTAAACAGCAGAATAAAGATGAAAGTAAAGCCTGGTGTCTATTGAATGCACTTCATTGTGCAATACAGATAAATCTGAATATCAATTGTTCAACAACCTTTTGTCTGTATTAAATTTCAGAGAACAAAAGATAAATTCACTGTTTTCTATAGTCATTCAGTCACCATTTTTGTCACTAGATGGTATTATTACTTTCCTGAAATTGTCCAGTTCATATGCATGTTCACAATTCACAGCTTTTGTATAATTCACTCTTCTAAAAGCAAGAAAAGCTCTCATTATGAATAGTCGTATTGATTGATCAATTCATTGATACAAGGCAAGAGATAAGGCATATTATTTCGCACCAGTTATTGGTTTTTTTGTGTGTGGTATTATTGTTATCCCAGTGTGATTTGTAGATATTTAACGTTAATTGAACATTGTTATTATTGTTAACAGTTGAATATAAAACAATACTCACTTTGCTTCATCAGTCATTGTGCAATTGTCAACAGGTGCCATAAAATTAACCATTTTTGAATGAACTCCAAACCTGTAATGTAAAAAGTTTCAATAAATAACTACTGAAATTTATTCAAAATTATCTTTTAATTAGTGTAAATTGAAAATCATTTACACTTTTCCAGAAAATGGGTTTAATCATTAAACAAACAGACAAACATTTTCAGTTTATTTTATAAACCTGCCTCATGTTTCAATCTACAAAATTCAGAAATTCCAAATTGGAATGTTTCAAACATTTGATGATGTTATTTACAAAATTTTAAAAATATTGTAATTTCATGTAGCAAAAGATATATTTGAAAATGTATTCTATATGTTACATAAAGTTGAGGATTGACCCCAACTTTAGGTCTGGGGTAACTGTAAGAACTATTTTTTTAATGAAATTCTTTGAGATAAATATTTTTTTTTGTGTTATTAATCATAATTTTCATTGAAAAAAGATCTTTATATGTTGAATAGGTTGGATAATATTTTTAAAATAGCTAAATTATCTCCATTTTACTAGTAATTGTTCACATTAGTAATTTTATGTAAATCAGAAGACTTAATGCGAGCAATTATTCGTTTCATAGCATTTTTCCATCATTTTATAATTGGTGGCAACAAGAAGGAAAATTTCTCAATGTTTTATACATTGATGGAGACAAGAACCTTCAATAAAAGAGTGACTATGCCATAAGACTGTTGTGTTCCTGAGATGTGACAAGGACAAAATGTAAAGACATTTTTGTATTCTTCAATTATTTTATGAATTTTAAGATATAAAAATGACCAGGATGATAAATAATACTTATAAATATATACTAGGTAATCATAATTAGAGGTGTTCTATTCAGAGGGCTCTGTTGCTCTAACTAATAAGCTAATTGACACCAAAATTTGCATACACACTATTCAAAGGATGCAGAAAAGGATTTTGCAAAGAAAAATTTTAGTTCTAAAATTGTCTGCTACAGGGTAAATGGCACTGCAAAACAAAACATCAGAAACACAATGAAAAAGAATTTATTTGTTTGTATGAGTACACATGGTACAGATTGCTTAACGATTGCAGGGAATGCTGCTCAATGTGTTCATCATTTAATATGAGTATAAGTATAAAACTAGAAGACGATGCACAGTATGTTCAATGGCTGACCACAACTGTTTTCCACAATATTTTGCACAAGCAATACTGTCCTTTTAGTCTACCAATGTTGCAACATTACCACAATTTCATATCTTTGCTTGCAGTGTCATTTACTCTGTAGCAGAAAGTTTAAAACTAAAAATTTCCCTTGCAAAATCCTTTTCCATGTCCTGTGAAAAGCATGTACACAAATTTCGGTGTCAATCAATTTATTGGTTGGAGCTGCAGAGTCCTTTGAATAGAATAGCTTTTATTATGATCACCCTGTACAGTAAAAATGCATCACATTTAAGTACCATGTGACTTGCATAATTTTTCTACTTGCATGGAGATTTTTGAAACAAATTGTGTATGTCAAGGACTTGCTATGTACACCACTGACTGCTTAGCCAGTCGGCTGAGCAGCTATCGTTTGGGGACTGGGGACGAATCCAGACATATGAAAACACTCCAGGAACTTTTCAAGTAGTGGTTTGGGCCAACTCCTCACTATCCAGCTCACTACTGGCCATTAAAATTGCTACACAAGGAAGGAATGCAAAAAACAGAATGATATTTATTAGACACATACATTATAGTGGGAAGAACAAATAATTAAATTTTCAGGAAATTTGGAGGTATAGATCTTGAGAAATCAATACCCAGAGTAGTCACCATTTGCAGCAATAACAACATTTATCTGCCTGGACATGGAGTCAAACAGAAATTGGATGGCATGTATGGGTACAGCAGTCCATACAGCTTCAACACTATGCCACAGGTCATCGCCCATAGTGACTGGCAAGTGGTGACATGCCAGTTGCTCAGCAACCATTGACCAGACATTTTCAATTGGTGAGAGATCAGGATATCATGCTGGCCAGGGTAACAGTCAAACATGTTCTGTATCAAGGAAGGTCAGGACAATACGAGCAACATGTGGTCGTGCATTGTCCTGCTGAAACATAGCTTTACGGAGACTTTGAAGATAGGGCAGAGCCACAGGCCTTAACACATCAGAAATGTAATGTCTGTTGTTCAAAGTGCTGGAAATGCGAACAAGAGGTGATCAAGACATGTATCCAATGGCACTCCATACCATCACTCCAGGTGATGGGCCAGTATGATGATGTCAAATGCATGCTGGCAATGTGCATTCTCCACAATGCTGCCAAACACAGATGCGGCCATCATGGTGCTCTAAACAGAACTGGGATTTGTCTGAAAGATGACATGACGCCATTCCTGCATCCAGGTTTGTCATTGATCACACCATTGGAAGTGCTCCAGCCTGTGATGCAGTGTCGAGGGTAGCCTAAACCATAATCGCCATGCTGGCAGTCCATGCTGCTGCAAACACCGTTCGTGCAGACACTTGTCTTGCAAATGACCCCATTTCTTGACTAAGGGTTTGTGATGTGGCTGTACGATCCGTTAAGGCAATGTGGATAATATGTCTGTCTTTTCAACTGTTAGTGATGGGGGGGTTGCTGAGATCCTGCACGGTGTTTTGTATGACTGTCCTGAACCCATTGATTCCATATTCTGCTGACAGTCATGGGATCGTGACCAACATGAGCAGCAATACTGTGGTACAATAAACCACAATCCCAGTAGGCTACAATTCAACCTCGATGAAAGTCAGACATGTGCTGGTAGGCATTTCTCCTCCTTACATGAGGCATAACAACGTTCTTACCTGAAAACAGCGTTCAAATGCAATTTCTGTATGAGAAACATGCTGTAAAATCTCTTCTTTTATACACATTGTAGGTGTCACTACTGCCGCCTGCCTTGCATGAATGCATTGAAAATCTAATCATTCACATATCATATCATATCATATCATTCGCATATAATTCTTGATCAAACTTGGAACAGTTTTCCAATGTTTTAATGTACATTACAACATTCCCTGATAATGTTTAACATAATTACAATAATATAAAATGGTAGCATTCTTTTTGGAAGACCCTGTATTTTCTTGGATAAATTGTACTGCCCAGACAACTACAGTAAAAGCTCATTTTAATGGATTGTGGAACAACAGATTTCTCAGAATGGACTTTTTCCAGGTCTTGCCAAATCAATGTAATTTTACCTCCTTTTAGCAGATTCATTAATCGGAATAATGGATTTTTCTACCTCAAATCTATTGTAAACTTCACAGTTTTTCAAAGGTTAGTTAATATTTGGGTGTTTCTGGAAATTTGTAAAGTTTGATGATGCACTTTCTACATTTCGGATATATATATAATTGAAGAACTGTACAAAGAAAGTCAGTCGGCTGATACAATTGAAAAGGAATCACCTAGTGAACACACTGTCACTGGTCCAAGTGTAGTGCCAAAATTTAGCAAGGTCATCAAGTATTTTCAAGTCATGAAAACCTTCCTGACAAGTTTCAGCATAAATGAACAGGCTGTACTGTACAGTACATGACATTGCTAATATCAAACAGTATGTATTCAATAGACAGAAAAGTGGCATAAAAAAAACTAAGATAGACGAGTATTTTACAAGTTGTGAAGTCAAACAAAGTGCTAATGAGCATATATAATTTGCCTCTTTTTATACTTACAGAATGTACAGTTTTTGTCAGCTTTGTCATATGGCATAATATACACATACGTTACAAACATGTGTTTCTATAGGATTGAAAATAGATATCTTGAGAGACTGAATAATTTCAAATACCAGTATTTCTTATATATAGGAATTAAACAATGAAAAAATTTTTGAATAATGGATATTTTCCTGTGTGTGTGGGAAATTCATTATTCACAATATAATAAATTCGCGTAATAATGGATGATTTTTGGTGGCCTGAGCGATCCATTAAAACAAAATTCTTTTGTAATTATAGTTTTTAAACTTCTATACTTGTTCTTCAACCTGTTACTTCTATGTAACATGGGATCACTAATATCTGTTTTATACATAAGGAGAAGTCACATTTGGTATATATTTTAAAGTTGGATACCCTTCTTGTCACTCTATATATACTTGCAAACAGTCAGAGTTACCAAGTTCTTGCTGGAGATAAAGAACATCCTTTATTCCATGCCATCCAATACAAGTGAACTGTCTGATACCAAGCTCCTTAACTTCAGAAATCTGATGAAAAATCTGTATGTTGAATGAGGGCTGATAATCTTTCAATTACAAGATAAATAAAGTTTCAATATATTTTAACAATTTAACTAATAGGATATTAATGACAAACAGTCCACAGTGGAGATTTGGCTTAATGAATCTTTATTGAATAATTTTCAATAAAGATTAAAGAGTAATTTTTTACTTAAATGTATTGAATAGTTAAAAATATTACAATTAATTAAGTTCATTTATAACTAATTATTATTAAAGTTAAATTAAAAGCATAATAAATTGTCAAAATTCTTTACTTAATACAAATAGAGAATACAAACCTGATTTTCCGTCCTTTGCTGGCTTTCGTGTCTACTTTTTTTTTCATTTTACTTCTGAGTTTTTGTATCTCTAACCATTGCCTTTGATAGAAAGAAATATTTCAAATTCAATTTACTTTTAAATACCTATATTATAATATAATATAATAAATGTAATAGAAAAAATATAATTTCTACTTCAGAAATTTACTGTAATAAATTCTGAACAAATTAAAGATTTTCTACAAATAGAAATAAACATTGCATTAAAATTTCAAACATTTATACTGTGTTTTTAAGTAATCTAATAACAAAACCAAAGTACAACTTGCCAAATTGC